ATACAAGTAATTTCACACGTAAATAAGCTTCAACAAATTTTAAGCAGTGTATTAATACCCGAGCACAGGTCTGAATTCAGTGCGGCTAAAAAAACAGACCTCAAATACTAAAGACACATTGTTTGAAAAGTACAGTCAAAGATGCTTACCATAACGATGAAAAGTATTCCACCAGTGAATGCCTATTCAGGAACTACTGGAGATTAACAATAAAGAAGGCCAATTTTGACAACGTTGATCACCTCGATATCTAAGAAATGGATCATTTTAAATAAAAGGAAAGCGTTATGTGAAAATCAGCAGCAGAATGTCTCAGAAACTTATTTATTACGGTCAACTGAGAGAGTATATTCAATGATCATAGCGAGCAACACAACGCAAAATAAACTTTACTTTTGTAAGTAATGACAGAAAAACATGTAACTGCTATCAGGTATAGCCGATAAGGTACAAAAACGAGGTAAATACAGATGGATAGCCCAGATCACAGAAATGTCCATAGTGGGCAAAAACGACGTTCGCTTAGCTCCATACTTAGCTTTGCGTAGTCGTCTTGCTGCCTACAGCATCGAAAGTGCTATGTAAAAAACTAGAGCTACGACGCGCCGTAACGGCAGCTGGCTGTATGCACTGGTTTAAAAATCTTCTTATTCGATGGCAGAGAAATAGAAATCCGCATCCAACTGTTGATTCCACGAAAGAACGGAGTTCCCATAAGTATACTTTGAAAAAATGACAATTAGAGTGTAAGAAACCGAGACGTAAATAAAGTTTTGTCCGTTGTTTTAATGGGATGACAATCGCATACACAGAAAGCGTTCGCAGAAGACTCGAAATGTCGGTGCTTTTGTGCTCTGTGTAGTACATGAAGAGCACGGAATTAATCTTTAACCTAAAGAATGTACAATTTTCCAGCATCTTTCCTTTACCATACACCTACTTGGAACTAAATATGCGCTACACTTTGCCGGAAAAAACCCGTTTGAGGTTTTCGAAACTTTCAAACTTCAGAAAAATTCATTCAGTAGACTTAGACCAACCTTAACAATGAAGCCGAACCCCGATTGCATAACGTCTAATAGTTATTAGCGTAACCTTCGACATCTACATCAAAAGGCTTTGGCACGATTACAGACTACGGTGAAGACCGAAGATCATTCAGTCCGTACAGCGAAGAAGTCACAACAGCGTAGTAGAGGATCTAAACCTCGGTCCGTTCACTCGACATTCTTCCTTCGAAGGATCACAAACAAGTAAATTCCGTGAAAAAAACGATGACATATCACTATTCACGCAGCTACGTCGACTATTTCTAAAAGAAATACCTGACCGATTGCATGGAAATGGAAATCAGCGCCAAAGAGTTAAATTCATGAAAAGAAGGGAGCCAGAATTGGCCCTATCTTTAAAGCACTGTAATATTTTAAAGGTTACAATTTGCTTTCCCTTTTACAGACTGTTGAAACAGTGACGATTTTCAGGTTACATTACAATATTATA